TCATGTACACCACTGCTGGATACTTTTAAACAATTGTTTTATTTACTGCTATATCGACACAGAAATATGATTTTATTGTAGTTATTTATAATAGAGATATAACTTATTTTGAATACAGCTGTAAGATAAAATCAATGCTAATTCGTTCTCATGATATGATCTCCGAACGAAAATCTTGTCTGTTCCTGATAACATATATTACGTATGAACAACTTTATTTCTTTTACATTTGAAACGCCGTCTTGTTCTAAATCACCTCGAGCCACGAACATGTGTGAAAACCCATAAAACGCAAGAAAGAAGAAAAAGAAGCGCTTGAAAGCGGAGAGGCGGAAGAGAAACATGAAGAGGACAAATTGTCCGCGAGAGGTAAAAGGAACGAAGAGTAGGAAAGAAGAGTCGTCGAACATGTGCAGTAGCGTCCATAAATATTTTATTATTTATTCGAGTCACCTGTTATATGATTCAATGCTTTCGTATCCGAAATATGATCGCAGATCTCATAATTCAATCTTATTTGTTAAATTATGAATGCATGCTTTGGTTTCATATATCGAATAAATATTTAAATTATTATTAACATTATACATATGAAGTCTGTGCAGTTTAATTTCTTTTTTTCTTTATGCAGTATCATACTTGTAGTAGTTCACATACAAAACTTTCCATAATAGTATTCAAAGATATAATGTTGAAGCTTAACGAAGAAAATATGTTAGAAGTTAATTGTCTTAAAAAAAACATTTGAACCTCATAGGAACTTTCGCGAGTATTAATCGTGTATAGTCAGATAGCCGACACGTTAATAGTCATAAAAACGTTCTTCGTTTCCCGCAGGTTTTCTGCACGTTCAGTTCCAGTGGTTCTGAACGGTACTGTATATCGTTTTTCCCCGGTCCATGAAACGACAGGCAATTAAAAGTCATGCCGGCGGTGAGCGTCGCGACGTGCTTAAGAACCGAAGCGTTTAAGAGTCGACGTTTCCGTTCACACGTGCGTAACGAAGGCTCGCAGGTCGCGCAACGACGCCTTCGCGAGACAAAATAAAGAGAGGCCCAGCGCGCTCTGCGGACAAGATTTAGGGCCGTCTGAGTATTCGTGTCTGAATCTACTTGCGCTGTAGATCCTTACGGCAGAAGCGCGACTGCTGAGGAAAATCCGCTCAGAGCAGATTGAAAAATGGAAAACAACTGAATAAGTACGTATTGTAACCCTTGGAGTAAGTCGAATCGATGGAAAAGATTGTGCTTATATTGATTATTGTTATGAAGAGTATTATTACTTGCGATCGGACAAATATTACGGAGGAAGATTCTTGAAATTCTCTTCAATTGTAATGTGTCTGTTATTGATGATTTCAGTTACTATTCTGTGTTTATTAGACCATGAAACTTAGACAGTGAAATATAAGAATTTCTTTAGTGAATTAATTCTAACCACTGTTTTTTATTTTAACAGAGAATATTAGGAGATTATTTTTTAGTACGAGTGACTGTAAGCTTAATTCAGTTTTGTGGTGTGGTTCTTGAAAACTAAGTGTCTCACTTTCCACATAAATATAGAAATGCCTACGATTTCAATTTTATTCACCTATTTCGTTAACCAAACTTATATTACCACAAATAAACCTCGAACTGAGTAATAATGAACATGATATGTTTCGCCTTAATTAATGACGTCTGTTAAGTTTCCTAATTTGAACCACTGGTATAGTACTGTGCATCCCAATATTCTGCACGAAATACTAAGTCTTATATTCAAGTAAAAGTATGAATTTATTCACTTTTGAATTTTGAATTTATTCATTCATTTAAGCGAAGCGAGTTATGCGTAGATATTGTACAGTGGATTTTTCGTGCAAACCTTTGGCCTTAATTGCGTTCTTTCGCGGAAGAAAACGGACGTTACTCCATTTCTGCTCGCGACACTTTCATCTGACTTTACAACCCGTTAAGCGCTACTTTGTCAAGCTCTGCATCCGCTCGCGGATCCGGTCGATACTCGTTTCCGTTTCTCGTCGTTACTCGAATAGCTTTCGTCAAGGCTATTTCCTCGCACGATAAACTTTCACTGGCAGCACATCGTAAAGGATCATGTCTGTAATGATTGAAGACCACTGGAACATATGCGAATAAAACACTATGTTCTCGTTTAGCTAAAATTATTGAATAATTGGATTTTCGTTAATGACGTCAGTGATGCGAATGATGGTACTTAAGAAATTCTGTATGAAATTACTCTTAGAGAACATCCTTGGTTATCGAGAAAGGGTCGAGCAAATCGACCATTAATTCACGAAAGAGCAGAATCGTATTTTCGAAAGATGTGCTGCGCTCGCAACGAGGTCGAAGATACATGGCTACACGCTTTGTATAACGACCAGCCGTTTAACTTTAGATTCTGTAAGGCTCAATTAGAGCCGCGTCGCGTTAACGAGTGCCGAAATAGCGTCACTATTAGCGTGATGTACCGATTAGCCAGCTTGGTAACGCCTACAAACAGAACAAACGACGCATGGGTGTAACCTGCCACGGGGTTCTTTATGACGAACCAGAGAAATTATGTGCGAGTAGGTGTAGTTGGATCCTCTCGCATCTTTCTTTTTGTGGTTTAATCCGTGACGAAATAACGAGCCCTTTCTTTTCCTCTGACTTCGCGGTTCCTTTCATGATTACTAATTCGTGTCATTTATTCAATCTCCATAGACCTACCTTCTACAACATTGCTATTGTGACTCACCGGTAGACCTTCCCCCCCCCCCCCCTTTAACCAATTGAAACTTTTGCCATTTTTTTATAATTCAGTTTAGTTTAAGCTATAATTTTAGAATTTAATGTCAATTTATTTATACATTACAAGTACATGCTAGGGAAAAAATAAACTATAATATTATATATTATTGAAGAAGAATAGAGAAATACAAGTATTATTTTACACCCACGAACACGTGGTATCGTTCAACTTCTTAATATTTCAGATTGAAAATAAAGCAACGGCTGTAAAAATATTTAACATTGCAGGAAGTTATGACAAAAACATCCTGTACATGCACATCCTTAATCCTCTATAGGCTTGGGTAACTTTCAGGTCACATGCTAATATATCGACATTTTACTAAAAAGTTAAAATTTTTCACAATATGACGTATAGGTCTCAATGTCTCCGATAACTAATAACAATATTGAAGACGGCTGGCAGCATCATCATCTTGAAGTATCAAAGTAAATGCCTTGGAAGTTGTCTGCAGAAAAAGAAATCGGCCAATTGAGGGTTAAAATAAACTAAATCCGTAGCCACGGCTATTGTTTCTTCAATAAACATACCCAGCACGATAAGTGATTACTTACGAGCCGTAGTAGTGGATCGATAGTTATTTAATAGCGAAACAAACCATCCATTGAACAGGCCATTTCGAGCGGATCATCTCTCCCGCACATAATCGACGCGTTACCAGACGCATATGCACACACCAGCGTGGGTGTATTTACGTCATAATGAGTATGCAAAGCGATCAGCGTTAACGAGCCAGCTCGCTTTCAGCGCGATGCGCGTTACCATAAGCCCACCAACCGCGTCCATTGTATTTTTATCGTTCGCTCGCGAATGCTGGCGCGGAACGTGTTTCCCATTAGGCTACTCACCGTGCCACCCCCGCACGAACTGGGCCCTTAACGAGCGGGTTTATCCAGCCGATCTTGGCGCGAGCCAATCCACTCGCAGGATAATGATGTACCCATCTCGGTGTCAATCCGCTCGACGTCATCGCGATCGTGTTCGCTTAACCGACAGCACCCGCCATGCGGAGTATCAAGCTTCTTCGTGACTTTAACGTTAGGATAAGTTCTAGGGTCTCAACTGAACTCACGTTTTCCATGGAAGGACCCCTCAATTTCCAGGGAAGGTTTATTTAAAATATAGAATGTCTAGTTTTGTTTAGTATTATTAACCCTTTCAGACCTGGCGTCTACAGTTGAGGACACAAAATTTAAAAATTACCGACACTATCGTTCAGGGCAAATATCCTTATTTGGCACGTGAAGAAAGACCAGTTTTCTTGAGAACTACACTATTAGGATTTTGTTTATTTCTTTCATAGTAATTTTAGTTAACCCTAAAATTTAAGTTACATTAGTAAGGGAAAAAAAAAATAATTCATGTCCGAAAGAGTTAACAAATCAGAAGTGAGAATTATCCACACATTACTCACTTTTACTAAGATATAGTCAGTATCTAACGCAATCTGAATACAGTATCACTAGAACAATTTTGGAGTATTTTACATCTCGTAAAACATGAACCAGAAAAAAAGCAGTGTTATGAAACTATATACAATTCTTCGTTGTCAGTTCCTGTCATACACTGGATATTTGTCAAGAGTCAGTGATGCATATAGTCAGTATGAAAAGCAAGCTCACTCAAACTTCATGACGAGTGATTTGAACATCTATAAACGAATATACCAAAACAAAATTCTTTTAGAGAAAAAAAGCATAGTGCAACAAGTAACCAAATCCTATAAAAAATTCTGTCTAAGAGAAAGCACGTTTCTCCAAAATCCCATCTCTTCAAATCTCATCTTCCCACGAAAATTCTGCTCGAAATTCCAATGCTCAACCATCACCCATCGAGAACGATCTCTATCCAACCATGCCATCTCACACACCTCATAAAAGCTATGGATGAATTCAAATACCTGAACAAGAGAATAAAATCCAACGAAACAGAGTTTCGGAAGGGGGGCCAGAGGTTGGAACGATTGCAGGGTGTATTGACCGTCAGAGTCCAGCAATTAACGGGTAAACGACAGGAAGGGGCCTGGACGTCCAGGCGAAAATTTACCCTTGCTCCCAGCGCGATCGCCCTCGCGGATCGCGGGAACTCGCGAGCGCGTAAGGACAAAAGCAGTCAGAATACCAAGATGGCGGGCCACGGATCGGTAGGCGCGTCCCGGCGATGCAGTTGGCTCTAACCTTCGACCAATCACATCAGGGTGTTAACCGTGTTCATACGGTTAGGGGGCCACGCCAGCTGCGAGTCGGCGCATCAGCAACCGCGACTCTCAGCGATTGAAATGCGGCTCGCTCGCGGCCGCCAGTTACCCGTCGACTCGTGCCCGATCCACTCGTCGCTACACGTGGTTTTTCTCTCCCTCCTTCGTGCTCACAGCCTGTCCGTCTTTCTCTATCTCGTTTCGATTACGTATGCGCTCGGTCGACATGGCAACGATCGCGGATCAGCGATTCGGTATGGAGATCGCAAGCCCCGCGTTTCGACACATTGCAGTTTGATCGGTCGCGACGAGGTTCGAGGTGCGTTCCGGGACTCGGATTCGAAGAATTTTTGTGCATTTGGTGGTTGTCGCATGTTTGTGGTGCTAGTGGGGGACGTACACGTGTCGACCCTTAGACGATACCATACGAATGCATTCGGAGCATATGCGACTGTGATACGTTCTTCGGTTGAGTCGCGATCTCAGTACTGTGAAAAATGAATTTCTTCGGTTGAAGAAATAGGGAGAAGTAGAAGATAGTTTCGGAAGATTTCGAAATCTGAAACGAAAGAGGGTATTATAGTTGGAGGCTTGCGAGGAAGACTGGGAACCTTTCACGGTATGAATAACAAAGTGCATATCGGTTGGGGACCTATGAGTTTTGAAGTAACCAAGCGACGCTGAGGATTGAGGTGCAGCTGGCATTTTGGCACCTGACAAATTGGAGTAATCTCGCCTACCAAGTATTGGAGCAACTCTATTTTGAGACTGAGAGCTGTGGAGTTCAGCATTAGTATTTGCGAACGAGTGAGTCTGCATTTACGAAGAAACTGTGATTTTTAATTGTTTGCCGGTCGGGACCTAGTCCGTGGACTGCAGGATCGGTTCTTAGAGACATGTGGCGTTCAAGAATGAGTGATACCCTAATGTGAAAGTTGACGGATCGGTTTTGTGTAGCTATTATGCGAGTTGTTGCCATTTTCTATTGGGAAGAGTCGTTCCATATCGGACGAGCTAGCTTTCGAACTGAACATTGTAGAAGAGCGAACTTGTGATTACAGAAAGCAATACGTATCTGCGATTTCTAACGTGATATATTTAAACGTGACGTTTGACTGAAAATGTTCTACAATTATACCAATGGTTGCTAAAGCAAGCACGTACTAACCGAGACTCTGTATAAATACTCGTGACCAGTAAGTTCAGCGAGCCAAACAATTTGCATTTCAATGGTTTCTAAGGATCTTGTAATAGAGCTGTCACATTTTACAGTGCAAGTGGAAGATGTAGATTAAGTATAACTAGCATTTGGGGTTATGTGCAATTGCCCGCGAATGATTTACCAATGCCCATGTATTTACAATACCAGATCTCGTAAGTATAAAAAATAAATTCCACGCAATCACTGGACGAAATAGTCTTGCCATACGTCTTGCACTATTATCTGCTGCAAGAGTTCATATCATAAAGCCATCGAATTACAATTTACGATAAAATAGTGAATTCGACGTTTGCTACTGTTTATTAAAAATATATAAAGAATCGTAAGAAGACTGACTTGCATTTGAGGAGCGAACTCTCAATACGGAGAAACGTGGAGCTATGGAACGATAGATTCGACCGGTCAGCCAATCCGGGATTTCAATCGAGGAACAGAAATGGATTCCAACATAGAGGAAACGGAACTGGACGTAGGGTCCGCGAGCGACGAACTCGAATCCTCGATCGCGGAATCGAAGCTGACGCGTCGACCGACTCCGAAACCCTTCACGATCGAGAGCTTGATCGGTAACTGCGGACCACAGAAGGGAAACTGCGATCCAGGGACCCAGGAAGATCGCACGAACGAGAACGAAGAGGACTCCGATCGAGACAGAGAGTACCTTTATCAAAGACACTACCTGGCGACTGCGGCGGCGAGCGCACTACCTCCTGGTTGGTTTGTTTTTTGGGGATAATTTTACAAATGGTCTCTCTCATACGGTTATGTTTTGTGGACAAATTGTTGTGCTAGAGATTCTAGACTTATCATTACCGTGGCAATAGTTCGTGTTTATACCACAAAAGAATTACAATTAGGTTAACAATTCTCGTTTGTAGGAGGTCTAGTTTAATTATTGATCTTCATGTGGAAGTTTCAGACTTCAGTAGAAATAGAGGTGGATAGCTGTAATGGATGTAATACTATGTAATAAACTTAATTCTTTCCATTGAGTTGCAAGAGTTTATAGTTCTGGTAGTTCTAAAACATCTGACAACTTCAATGGTTCTGAATGTTATGAGAGCCTGTTTAAAAATTATTTAAAGATTATATTGTAAGAGATACTTTTAATTAATAACACTTTTCAGGAGTTATTTGTCAGGATTTTTGATAAACTTAAACAATACAATCATAACACATACAGGGAGTTTCATAAGCCAAATTCAACAATATTTTAAACACTTTATTCTTAATACTCGATTCACATGAATCTTATGTAATCTAATTTTAAAAAAGAAATTTATGTTCTTTGTTTGCAACTTCAATTTAGAAAATAGAATACATATCAGAAATAATCTTAGTACCGAAAATAAGTAAATGTTAATAACTCTTATAAATAGAATTTTTGTAACAGTTATGCTAGCAATGAAAATTGATCTGGCAGATATGGGTTCATAAACCATATTATGGTAGCGTATGATTACCACGACCGGTGACAACTCATGATGTAGTATCTTAACGTGTGTGTATGCATCATAGTATATTACACGTTGATAGTTGTGTACAACTGATTAGGTACGCGTGGCGTATCACTTTTAAACGCCTCTCATTATTCTAATCTCTAGATATATTGTATTAAACTGCAATTAATTAGTCCACGTATAGGCACACTTTAGCAATTTTGTATTATTTAGATGAATACTCAATTTTCATTATGAATTATATATGTATTGACAACGTTGATATAATAGGGCACAGAAACAGGGTAATAATCGATGCATACATGTCAAACTGCAAGCCTATAAAACAGTATTTATGATAAAATTATTCTCACGAGATCTGGTTTTAGTTACTGAATGTACTAATTTTCTCCAAACGTACTGAAGGAACTAAATGAAAATTCTGAATGTATAAAATTAATATATTCGTAAAATAGCAATTTTGGGAAATGATTGATTCCCACTTCCTCCGATATTACAATTTAGATTTTATATCCAAATCTTTGCTATAGATATCGCAATCACCGGATGTTCTATGAATAATTTTATCCTCGAACGCCCTACTTTCGACGCGAAATGAATTTCGTTTCAATCAAACTTCATTAAACGTCATCTTCCATGTTACGTCACCTTAAGATTGTGACAAGATCTAAACTCATATCGGACCACCTGGTGAGGTCATATATACTTCATTCAATGGATACATTGATCGTCTCGGATTTACGTAACGTGTATTTCACGCCTTCGGTTCGCTGAATCGCTGTGCACGTATTACAACCAAAGTTCAATGATTCAATTAAAAGTGAAAAACTTGTCAAACGATTTTCTGTAAATAGAGTTTCCTTGACATATACATAGGATATACATCATCGATGGTATGGTTAACTCGTGTTGCTCTTGGAGACTGGAATCTACATTACGTCTTAAATAATCATTCCATTTTAAACAAGTTTTAGTAGAATTAATGTTTGTTCGATTTTTGCAAGAATCTCTGGAGTCAAACTTGGTCGAAGTCATCCTACTTTTATTATAATTGTGACAGAATTGCAGAGGCCTTTCTAGTAAGTTCAGTTCCAACGAAATCTAGTTTAATTATTTATTAACTTTCTACCATCAAGTGTCTCTCCATCTAAAGCAGAGAATTGCTAAGTATTAATGAATCCACTGTGTATCCAATTCAGTACGAAGAGTTATTTCGTCGTCTTTCTTTCCTTTCCTCATTTCATCCTTCGAGTTCTATTTGATCTAAAAATAATATCAGTCTTCTGGAATATCAGAACTCACGAACATTTCTTCTCAAAAGACACTTTTGTCTCCTCAGCTTGATTTAAAACTGCTCAGTTATTTATTAGCAGTAAATACCACGCTTTAAGGGAACCCAACCGAAATCCAAATAGAATGGAAACGAACTTGAAATGCATGTAAATGGAATTCCAACTAAACGTGACTGAATGGCAAAATGATATCGATGATGCTTCGATTTCATTTTACATACTATGTCCTAGTGGACAGTGATCCGTGATAACGTGAGACGATATATCTACTTCGATTGGTCACAGTATGTAACTCGTGCGACGTGTTGAAACTTTTATCGAGTATTTTATAATCCGATAAGGTCATCTGAGTGAACGATCTATTGTAATAGTCGCTTTTACTCGGCCATTTTCACTTCTTGACATCAAACGCTAACGGTTGGTGTATCATTGGATTATTTTTAAATCGTTTAAATGCTGGATTAGAAATGTCAGAGTGACTTGTTGCGTTAAATTTAGCAGAGAATGGTAGGGTAACGTTAAAGAGAAGTTAACGTAGTTGAAATTATATAGAGATCTCAGCAAACTACTTTCATAATTAATTCAGTATATCACGAAAAATATAATTTTTAATGTTACCATTCTTCAAACATCGAAATGCATACCGTGCAATTTGTTAGAAGCATTGAGCAGTGTGCTTACATTTTCAATTTGTGTGGTTTTACTATTCACTAAAGCTCTTAATAAATAAAATATTGATTGAGCGATTCGTTTCATTAATTCAATAATTATAGGCGTAGAACCTCAATCATAGAATTTTAAACAGGATAGTAAAAGACTACACGGTATTTGACACAGAAAGTTCGACTCTCTTTTGTATTGACTCAAATTTATATGAAATGTAGGAGAAACGAAGACAACAGAATTAGAATACCGAAGCATTTAATTAATCCTTGTCCCCTAGGTTTCGGCGTGCCGCTCAGCCTATACGGAGCATGGCTACCAATGCGGATGTACGGCAGTGGCGGGACTTCCGGTGTCCCTATGTTGCCTGCGCACACTTCTGCTAACTATCCGTCTCACCAGGATCTCTATCAGAATCGATTGTCCCAGCACCTGGGCCCTGGACCGAATCATCTTCAAGGCGCAGCTTATCCGCACGGTTGCCAGCGAACCTCCAATCATCGTGGCTCGACGAGCTTCACGGACAGCGAGGACGATGGTAGCATCGACTCGCCAGCTTCGCCAGCTCACGATCTCTCTAAATCTCGACACGGTAAGCCTTACGACCCAGACAGTAATTTAGGCGACACATCTTAATCTTCTACTTTAGTCTTGGAATAAATCATACAATTTTCATGGTATAGTGTTTTGCATCTGGGACTCAAGACACGTGCTTGAGCATCGAACAATTAATGCTCGATAATTATCTGACTTTGAGTAACTTTAATTTTGTCTTAATGTCGTAAAGATTTATGAAAATTTCGGAATCAAATGATATTCAGCTTCGGAGACCTTCAACGTGTATCTTTGTGAAACTGTGATACAAATTTTATTGTTTTGAGGATCGTGCGAGGACTCAGGATTAAACGTCATTTTCGACTCGTACGGTTCATTAACGGGAATGCACTGTCGCGCGAACGGGATCGTGATATACTAATTTATTTATATTCTGCTATTAACTTACGGCCATCGGTAATTCTATATGCGACGCACGCGCGAGCTCTGCGCTATAGCTTGACGTCTGACGGCTGTTAGCGTTAACAGGATGCGGGAGCGATCGTTTTAATTATTTCTAGCACTGACGAAACGCTACCACGGTGGTAGACGGCAATTAAAACGAATGTCGATCGATAGGACACTTATTAGGCCAGTAGCAACAGATTCAAGATGTCGCTGTTTAAAGCGAGCTCCGAATTTAACAATTCATTATAGCTGACTGAAGTTTAGTATTCTTAAAAATAGAGCGATCTGTTAGGTGTGCTTTTCCAAAATAAGTTTGACATTCTCTGCTTTGGGCTCATAAAAAAATGTCAATTTTGTGTATTCTTGGCGAATCTAATGAAATGGTTTCCGAAATAGATCCATAAGTATTATATCGATTCGGAGCTAGAAGCAGTGACCCAGACAGGTAAAAATAAGCACTAAATCGATATCATTAGATTTTCTAATATCTGTTTGTCTATTGAATAAAAGTTTCAACTATCGACATCCCGTTTCCTCGTTCATATTATTTCTGTGCTTACTTCTCGTCTCGAGATCGGTTGTCATTATAAAAATATTCAAATGGAACTCATACTTTTAATATTCCTCCTCAGAGTTGCATGGAAATTTATCAAGTTGTCGAATACAATGAGATTACAACGCTGTTATTTCCTTATCGTCAGACGGACGTTCAAATGTGAATTCTTTTAGACATAAATACTTGATTTAAAATAGTAACAGCACTCGGTACAAGTATTTCAGATCTCGCCACGATGGATGGAAAAAAGGAACGCTCGTATCATCCGTGAAACGGGGATCGAAAAATATCGCGATGCACGTTTATGGATTCCAGGAGCGTGTCCTCGGCTACGATCGTAGTCGCCACGCTCGGAGCCGGCAAAGGGCCCGAGATACACGGTAGCTTGCATAAATTATGCCTGGCCCGAAAGTCGAATCTCGCACGCTTGCACACACGCACACATCTACGAAATTCCGTGCGCATACGCGCTCAAATACGTGATACGGTACTGGACAAATCCTGGCCGAATTTCAAACGCATCGACGACCCTTCGACGAAGGACCCTTGTTCCTCGAACATAAGGGCGACGTTCGATACTTTCCTTCGATCGTCGCGATAATTTCTCGAATACATTTTCTCCCGTGAGGCTCGACGTGATGGCCGAGGGAACTTTTCGAATGCGCATTCGTCAAATGATTCTGCCCATAACGAAATCGAGTGGCCCAGGAACGGATGGAGGCCTTTAATGGCCGATACATCGCCTGTTTGGACACGTAATTAAGACCTGTTTATATGCTGCTCGAAATAATTAGAGAATCCCCTGTATATAATCACTGTATATAACAATTATTCTCTAGTTGCTTCATATTTCTGAAAATATACATTGAATCGAAATTGGAGAACAAGTGCTAAAAGTGATTTTAGTTAATGTAGATTCGGCTAGATTAAGTTTCATAAAATACGTAAAGAGTTCCGAGGGTTATTACTCTATTGTCCATGGAATTTTCGAGTAATTAACGTATGCAATTGGAAGCATATTTCAGAATGACAATTTTTTTCGATGACCGTAGCTTATATCTTGCACAAGTGGAGCCTGACTCGAGGAATCGATTTGTATAAAAAAATCAAACAGTTCTATTGGAAAGAAGTACGATTACACTTTGTAAGTGCATCAATGCACTTGAGGAAAAAGAGGTATCATAAGATAACAGAGGTCATTAAACCACGCAAAATTTTCCTGCGCGGGTTTTCCCTGCCTTTACTGCGAACGAAGCTATAGCTTCTGTTACCAGTCATTATGTACGCGTTTATTTCAATATTAACTTACATATTTGTGTTTCAATTTTATGTACATACATGATTTACTTTTCCATTGTATCGTCTAACACGTACATTATGGTAATTAGTAAGTATATGCTTTCAATTTTTTCGGTTAGGTTTATTGGAATTTTGCCGAAACATCAAAAGTGATCCAATTCAAGCAACTTTGCTGTTAACACATTCGCGACCGCTGACGCGAATTCACGTCACTTCAAATTGTATTCCTGGTTATGACGAAATTGTGAAAATCTTTCTGTTTCATACACTACATATTTACAACATTGATATTTCAAAACATATTTTGTTATTTTTATCTTCGCCCTATGCAAAGTTGCGATGTCCAGCTTCAGAATTTTATTATTTTCGTCAGTACTCGGTATTAGATACGTGAAATACCTGCCGATCGCGAATGTGTTAATTAGTATAAATGATACCTGTTTGATCGAAACAAAATAATCAGTCCTCGTAGAGGTTCAAGTAGCCTCAGCGCTTTCGAGCGACGAACAGCTCGCAGTCGATCGTTGAGAGTTATCCACAGACCGATTGTTTCGTGTGAATAGAAATAGAATATAGGATGAAAGGTTGTACAGGTGAGGGTGGGGTGTAAATCGAATATGGAAAGTCGAAAACTCGCCGATCACGTATTTCCGAAGGCGGCGGGGCGAACGGACGGATCGACGAAGTCGCGCGCATTTATTCGTGGCCGATCACTTTTTATTGATGTACCGCCGACCGAGGCGATTTCGTATGCGCAACGAAATGGCTTCGAGGAATCTGTCATCGGTCATTTATGACGCACCGTGCCGAACCGGTGTGCCGATCGTTACGACGAACACGCCGATCGAGACGTCTGCCCTCTCTCTATTCTTGGCCCCCTCGACGATCGGAAACGTTCCACTGAATATCGCCGCTCGCTGGCGACCGATTTGCCCGTTCTACTCCACGTGCACCTTCTCTTACGATATTCAATCGTCTAAACGGGATCTTAAATCGAAAATGAACCCTTTATTTTTATTCGAGCCCAAATGAAACTTTAATCAGAGTTGTATGGCGTTGCACAAATTTGTATACGATGTCGTGGTTAATGAATTATTGAAATACGTATATGGATAATTTCACTCCTGTTTCGTATTCAAATTGAAAACTCTAAATTTAGAGATCGTCCCCTGCAACCATTCACCTGCTATCAGTGGCTCAACTGAGAATAATACCTAGAGCGTAATTAGCGCTTCCTTCGTTCGTTCCGTAATGCAACCAAATATTTGTCTGCCACTGAATTACTCGTAATTGTGGTCATCGTCCTTATATCATTTATGTTAGTTAGTTAGTTTGAATGGATTTCTATTAAACTTATCCACGGTATAGAGGAGTCTTCGAAATCGTTTCTTGCCGATTTCTTTATAATTGACAAATTTAGACGGTGTCTCAAGTAGTACTTAGACAAGTAGTAGCGATAGATGTGTCATACATCCAGTTGCAATATTCAACATGAACTCGTGAATAAATTAGTGCCAAACACGAAACATTACATAGAATGTCTTAAGCGTCATTTGCATTTTTCATGCAAAAAGTGGACGCATCTGTTTCATGAAAATTCTACATAAACGATGACGATATAATAGGTTTATGCATTTCAAAATACATGGAGTTAATTCAAACAGGAAAAGGTGAGTAATGAAGTGACTTCAGTTGTCCTGATGCAATTCTTAATCGTATCACTTATCAAAAGTGGATATACAAGGAGCCAGGATATTAAATTAATATCGAACTCTCAAATCCAGGTCGGTCGCAATAACAATCTCTATAATAGAAGCGCCCAGGAGTTTAATACTCTGGATCAAGACGTGGAGGTTGAACTTTTAATATCTTATATTATACTATTCGCGAGAAATCGCGTTAGTTAACAAGAAATGTGACGCGAATGGAAATCGAGCGAGGTAATTGCACGAGATATGGAGATTTCATTAAATACTGTTCTTTAACGCCAGTTTTAATAATGGCTCAGCTGGTGCACGAGCTCCGGCCAACGAAGCGTTCTCGAAGACGAAAATGAACGATAGATCGATCGCGTACTAAGTGAAATTACTTAATGGAACGGATTTCCTAATACTGTGAATGAAACTCAGAACTGTGCCATCGACGACGTTCGAGTTCTCCAAGAAATTATAGCACCGCGAAGAGCTCATTAACCGGAGACGTGCGGGATGGAAACGACGTAATGGTTATCCTCTGTGGATTCATATAATGAATTAATTATTATCACACCGGATGGAGATAGACGATCGAATCAGAACTTGGTAGATATATGTAATTCAGAGCCCGCCACGCGCTTTATTATTTCGATTCAACGGTCCTCAAAAAATTCAAGATTTTACTGAATTACAGTGTACGAATCTCTACTTGAACGATCGTACCAACTATTCTTATTACACGAGTTATTTACTCATCATCCGATTTCTTCTGCTGCTTATCTGAAATCGAAATCAATCGCGTATTGCATTGGGAACATTTTAGTTTGCTTTTCTTCATTTTATCGATAATTTCTGATAAAATGTTAAGTTGGTCTTCTTGAATCGAATCTATAACGGGGGAAAAGTAAGTATAATTTAATAAGAAGTAAAGTAGCTTTCTTCGGTAGTTCATTTAACAAACAAAAAAATTAAAATGTCATCCTTCTCCAGCGTTATCTTATTTTTACGAACTCCTGTCGTAATTTCATTAAATCCCAAACT